CATATTTAAACATAAGATATTTTAATAATTATATATACATAAACACACGCATACACATTATTTGTTTTTGAGTAACTAGCATCTACGAGTGAATCGTTGATGTCCTGTGTTGAGGAAAGTTACTTTTAAAAGTGATGCGTTACAATATTGCGTAACTCCATGAAGTAACTAATTGAGGTACTTGGTTACTTTTTATTAAAGTAATGCATAAAGTTACTTTTGTGTTACTTTTTGTCACCTGGTTTGGGCTTGCTTATTTGTTTTTTAATAACAAAAAAAAAACAAAAGTTATATTTTTCCCAACTATAAGGGCCCTTTCACACCAAAAGGGAAATGAATAAGCCTCAGGCCGAAGGTATTCTCTGCACGATTTCTCTCAACATAGGGACGAGAGAGGTGTCCGTGAATAAATAGGTAAACCGTGTAACTTGTGTTACTTTTTTGAAAAAGTAATTTAAAAGTAATGTGCTACTTTACTAGTTACTTAAAGTAATCTGATTACGTAACTCGCGTTAAACGTAAACGCTGGTGTGATCCCGTCTGCTCTCACTACTATTTCTGTGTCGGCTCTCTTCATGTCTGGAGTGCTGATCTTAAAGGAGAGGCTTTATTAGAGTTCTTAAGGGGGAACTTTAGCCTGTTGTTTATTTTCGATGTTTATTTTTTAAATTGTCTGCTGATGGAGGCAGTCTTGACGTCACTGATTGCGCTGATAATGAACAGTTTCTCCTGTGGTTCAAACTCCCGTCTGTCCTCGCTGTGAATGTCCTGACTCACGTTCACCAGAGGAAACACAAACTTCCTGATAATTGCCATGTCACTCCGACATGTTTAAAGGGATGTTGCTTGTTTAACAGTGTTGTTATTGTAAAACAAAACAAAAATATATTTTCATTAATTGAAATAAAGCTGAAATGAAATACATTAAATATAAACATTTATTTATAAAATATAATTAACAACAATAATAATAAAAATTCTAATCTAGTTCTAATCTAAAATTCTAATTCTAATATTGTAACAAAATACATAAAATGTAAACATTAGATGACTGACTTAAACCTATTTCAGTTCACTTTTAGTTTTCATTATTTTTTGAAGTTTAAGTTGTACTAAAACTGAAAACAAAGCTAACACAAATATATTAAAAAAAATTACAAACATAATAAAATTACTAAAAATAAAATAAAAACTGAAATTATAAAAATAAAAGCTAATACAAAATATTTATAAATACTATAACAATAATAACTATATTATTATTATAAATAATAATAAAATAACATTGTTGTTCAACGCCTGTCGCTTTTACAAAATACTGAAAATGTTAAATAAACCCTAATTTTAAATATTAATAAATACTATAATAGTGTATCAAAAAATGAAAAGTAACACTACTGTTCAATGCTTTGAAAAAATTTAAACAAAACGGAAAATATAAAAAATGGCTAATTTAAAATAAATATTTATAAATAATAACAAAATAACACTAACTTGTGTGTTATGCTTGTGTGTTATGTGTTAAACTAATGCTTGTCTCTTTGACAAAATAAAATAAAACTGAAAATATAAAAAATAAAAGCTAATTTAATAAATTGATAAATACAATAATACTTTATTACAAAATAACACTGATGTTCAATGCATGTCACTTTTTGACAAAATAAAATTAAAACAAAATTTGAAAAGTTAATTTAAATATTCATAAATACTATAATAGTGTGTAAATTATACTAAAATAACACAATTTTTCAATGCATGTCACTGTATTAGTTATTTTAACATATGAGCTTTATTCTGATCGCACAGACCTCCATGTTTTCCATTTTTTTCTTGTTTTTACAAACTGAGGGATGAGATGAAATGATTTTCTGTCGTAATCTGCATTATGCTAACCAAATGTTCCTTCAGCCCTAAGTCTGGAATCTTAATGACGTTACCCAGAATCCCTTGCACTCGGCACCCGGTTAACCCAGCTGCATTACAACATCATGTGACCCTGAGATTTAAGGCTCTTTCTTTTTAACAATCCTGGATCTTTTTGCTCAGCTTCAGCAAAGATCTCTCTGTCTCTCTCTCTCTCTCTCTCTCTCTCTATCTTTGTGCATTTTTCATACCCTTCCATTTATATCCTCCTCTTTGTTTTGCTCGTTTCGCTGAGTCACGTTTTCATCTCCCTCTTTTTTTTTCCTCCCTCTCTTCCTCTTCCTCATTCCTGTGTCGGTGTTGTAGATGTATCCTGGTGTGGACAGTGAGATTTCTGTGAGTAATCTAAACGCTCACCTCTGACCTTTGACCTCTGACCTCTTCATCCCTCCTTTTCATGTCTGTAATTTCCCCCGTTACTGTTTGTTTTGATGTTTCTCTCTGTTTCTCACATTGATGTAGTCTGGTTACATTAAGATTCAAGATATACATACTATATTATACTAAATTATATTTTATATTATATTATATAGTATATATTGATATATATATTGTATAAATAACAGGACAGACAAAAAAGCTTAAGACTAACTATTGAGCATATTAATGCCTTTTGTATCAGTATATGAAAAATTATATTATTAAATTACACTGTTTTATGTTATGTAGAATATATATATATATATATATATATATATAATTAACTAACTACTAAGTATATTAATGCCTTTTATGTGAGTATATAAAGTTGTTTTATTGTATATTATGTTTTATTTTATATTACATTTTATTGTATATGTTGATATATATTAAATAATTAACAGGACAGACAATGGTGAAATCACTTAAGACTTGACCTATTGAGCCTATTAATGCCTTTTATGTCAGTATTTAAAAATATTATTATTTAATTATACTATTAATATATTTTATACTGTTTTATATGATTATATGTAAAATATATTGTTATATATTATATAATCAACAGGGCAGACCATGTTAAATATTGAGAACTGATGTCAGTATATTAAAGGCATTAATATCTTGCAATAACACCATTTCCGAAGTCAGTTTGAATCAGCTTTTAATGCATCTGTAAATGCTCTCAGTGTTACATGCTTTATCTTGCAGTTTAAATCTGTTACATTGTTGCAGGTCAGGAGTTACTCTTGTTACATTGTTGCATGTTTTTGCAGTTAGATACTCATGATTGGTTGATACAGTCATGTGATGAGGTCTTCAGCTCTCTGATTGGCTGATTGTGTGTGTGCAGGTTCCTCTGAGGCTGATTGAGGGCGTTGAGAGCAGAGATGAAAAACTGTTTTTATTAACATTACCTAAGATACTTCTTCTTGCTGTTACTTGTAACTTGTTGATAGATTGATTAATGCATTAACTATGAGAGCTTACTGTAAAGTATAATTGTCTTTCTCAGTTTTCACTGTGCTTCACATGTTTCTGTGGCCTTTTCTGAATCCGCTGTAATCAGTGTTGTTTCCTGACATCTGCTAAATGCGTGAATGTGAATGTTTTCTGCGTCAGGTGTCATTTCTCGACGTTCAAGCAATGTGAGGAGTGGCTGAAGCGCTTGAACAGAGCCATAGCGCATCCGGCCCGTCTGGAGGAGCTGTTCGCGCTGGCGTTTCACGCCTGGTGTTTAGGAGGAAACACGGACGATGAAGACCAGCACCTGCACCTCTGCAGACCAGGTAGACTTAAACTGAGCAAAAATATGCAATTGGGTGCAGATGCTGATATTTATATGGATGACAAGTGATGAAATTCTGATGCATGTATTGTAAATCAATGAGATCTTTATAACAGTACAGCAGCTACTGACATAAAATGATCTAAATATCAGTGGTCGCTCTATATCTCCAATAATATGTCTTAGTAAGATTAGATTGAAATGATCCGAACATATAATGCAATGATTGAGAGATGAAGAAATAAACGCTCCTCAAAAGATCCTGATGATCAGATTTGAGACGCACTGATTTTTCTAAAAAAATGATTGAAGGAGAATCAAGTAAAGCTGAGCTGCTTCAGTCCAGTAAGTGTTCATCTGGAAATATTACTGCAGTTATTCTGACGTTTACTTGATAAAAATCAGTCCAGATTTGACAGCAGAAACACACGTGAAGCACGAGCTGAAGCTGGACGTTTCTACAATTACACTAAAAGAGATTTGACTGGATAAAAAACTCTAAACCATCAATAGCTATGTTTCCATCCAAAGATGCAAATTTAACTTATGCGCAAAACTGGAATATCGCATAAAACATTTGCGAATAAAGCACCGTTTCCATCCAACGAGTCAACGAGAACAAAATCGTCACTTCCTGATAAACGGGCACTAAATATCTCTAAGAAAACTAGGAGAAGCCACTGAATATTTATTCAGTTTGTGTCTCTCAGGTGATCACGTGCGGCACAGGATGGAGGTGGAGGTGAAGCGGATGGGATTTGACATGCAGAACGCCTGGAGAGTGTCTGATATCAACAACAACTACAAGTAAGATTACAGTGTGATGATAGACGGATGGAAACAGTCTTAAATTGATTTCACTAATATACTGAAACCTCATGAGCCAGAACTCATTCTTTCTTTTGCTACAGTATTTTACTTACTATTGATGAACTTTGCAACATTGATTCTGTAGCTGCGGTAAATTGAATTAACATTGAACTAAATTGAGCTGAATAATGGCACTGTTGTCTAGGGCTGCTCGATTATGACTATAAATTGTTTTTAGAACAATTTAATTGTTTATTTTATTTAAAATAAATGTGTTTCCATCGTAGTTTATGCGCATTTTTTCTTATCGGATAAAAAGTTTATCCTACTCATATGTGCGCATACGTTTTTTTTTAGAATTTATGCGCATCTTGGCGTTTCTATCCAGCGTTTTTTTAATGCGATATTCCAAAATGTGCATAATTATATCTAATCAGACGACAGAAGGCATGGAGTAGATTGTTTGCAACAGGTTTGACAGCAACGTTTTGATTATACTGAGAATTTAGAGCTTATCAAATGTGACCCCAATTGATTTCACTAATATACTGAAACCTCATGAGCCAGAACTCATTCTTTCTTTTGCTACAGTATTTTACTTACTATTGATGAACTTTGCAACATTGATTCTGTAGCTGCAGTAAATTTAATTAACATTGAACTGAATTGAGCTGAATAATGGCACTGTTGGCTAGGGCTGCTCGATTATGACTATAAATTGTTTTTAGAACAATTTAATTGTTTATTTTATTTAAAACAACAACAATAAAAAATAATAACAATAAGACCACTTAAATTCTCAGTTTCTCTGGTTTTCTGGTTTATAGTTATGTGTTTGAGTAAAATGACATTTTAACTCCTGATGGCATTTATTCCAAATTTTAAATAAAAATGTTGCCATTTAGAGCATGAAGTGACAGTTGATGAAAATAACAAAAAAGATGCCATGTTTTCAGACATGATTAATCGATTAATCGGTTTATTATCGGTTTTCATAATTGTTGAACGCTAAAAATTCAAATCAAAACCTAAATTCGGTTACTCACGCTTATGCAGAGCTGCATAATTGTTCTTGTTTATTGCTGTGAAGCTGCTTTGAGTGCTAAATAAATAAATTTGACTTAACTTTGCTGTAGGTGTAAGGTCATGGTATAGCAAAAATCCATTAATTATGTGTGCAGAGTGTTGAGTTTGTAACACTAATACAGCAGTGTGTTGTGTGTTGTGAGATGTGCTGTAGAGACGGATAATTAAAGCGAGCCAGAACCTGCTGCGCCGCATGAGTCACATCAGACAAACTCGAGTGTGTGTGAGACTGTGTGTGTAAGTGAGTGTGTGTGTGTGTGGGTGAGAGTGTGTGTGTGTGTGTGTCTGTCTCGGGTCGGTCATCGAGGCTCATGGAGAACGTCAGCATATAATTGGACTGAGGTTGTCATTTGAGGGTGAGACGGACGCAGCGGGCGTGAGACAGAGATGTGATTGATCTGAACATCAGAACTAGATGAGAGCAAAAAAAAAAAAGACTCTTTATTCTTTTTGATGTTCAGATACTTTCTTGTAAGCAAGTTTAATGATTTTGCTATTCCGTTTGCCATGAAAAGAGCCTCTGCTGTTAATATGGTGTTCAATAAATAAATATTGATATTAATATTTATATTTATAATATTTTATTTATTTGAGTATAAAGGCATTTTTAGCTTGCGTAATTGCTGTATTTCATAATATGTGACCCTGGAGCACAAAAGCAGTCTTAAGTCGCTGGGGTATATTTGTAGCAATAGCCAACAATACATTGCATGGGTCAAAATTATCTTTTTTTTTTTTTTTATGCCAAAAATCATTAGGATATTAAGTAAAGATCATGTTCCATGAAGATATTTTTTTAATTTCTTACCTTAAATTGATCAAAACTTAATTTTTGATTAGTAATATGCATTGCTAAGAACTTCATTTGGACAACTTTAAAGATGATTTTCTCAATATTTAGATTTTTTTGCACCCTCAGATTCCAGATTTTCAAATAGTTGTATCTCAGCCAAATATTGTCCGATCCTAACAAACCATACATTAATGGAAAGCTATTTATTCAGATTTCAGATGATTTACAAATCTCAATTTTGAAAAATTGACCCTTATGACTGGTTTTGTGCTCCAGGGTCACATATATTTGCTGTAAGAATATTGTTAATTTGCTGCATATAATTAATTTATTGGGGTTTATTGGTATTTTGATAAATGTAAGGTTTACTGGTATTACGACATGTTATTATATTGTTGTATATTAATTCCTAGTATGTTTTGTCATGAAAAAAAGCCTTTGCTGCTGATACGGTGTTAAGTATAATATTAATAAATTAATTAATTCAGTGCTATTTGTATGTATCTCTGTGAGTTTTAGCGTCTGACTCTTGTCATTGTAGGTTGTGTTCGAGTTACCCACAAAAACTGCTGGTGCCCGTCTGGATCACAGATAAGGAGCTGGAGAGCGTGGCCTCCTTCAGGTCCTGGAAGAGGATTCCTGTGGTGGTGTACAGGTGAGAGAAGCAGCTCGTCTGCCTCCTGCACAGCTGACCGTGACTGATGATCTCTGCGGTGTGTCCCGTCAGGCACCAGCGTAACGGGGCGGTCATCGCCCGCTGCAGTCAGCCGGAGATCAGCTGGTGGGGCTGGAGGAACACCGAGGACGAGTATCTGGTGACGTCTATAGCGAAGGCCTGTCAGCTGGACGCCGGGCCGAGGGCCTGCAGGACCAGAGGAGACGGACCCGACTCGTCCGACAGTGACTTCGGTAAGTTTTATTTTTAGGGTTTTTTTCCCCAATACAATTTAATTCATGAAACTTTAACCATTTAATAATTTGTGACCGTGTCTGTGAAATCCAGGCTAAAGTCTTAAAATCTAATTATGAGGAGATAAGCATCAAAGTTTGATTTCAACAGTTAATTTCACTATGATTTCAATCTTTGACATAGCCTTACTCAGTCAGGATTAAAGATATAAAGGTTATATTTTCACAGAATGTTCTACATCTTTGTGAAGGATGACTTTATGTAGAAAACAGTAAATCACAAAAAAATTACTTTAGCTGGGTTTTCACAGGCAGGGTCACATTTATGGAAAGTTTTGCAATAAGAGGGCCCTATGAAATGTTTTATTTTTTCAGGAATTTTGCTTTGTCTTTTTTAACTTTTTATTATCTATTTATTTAAATTTTTTTATTCTAAATTTTCTTGGTAAACGAAACACCAGAGATTTACTGTTCAAATTAAAACATGGAAGAAAGAGTTATGTTTCTTAAAATATATTATATTATATTATATTATATTATATTATTACTTTATGAAGTGCATTCTGCTGTACTACAGTCATATATTTCTGTCACAATTTCTTCAAGTTAAGCTAAACTTTTATTTTGAGTTTTTATGTATTTTGTTCTCATTTTATTTTATTGTTGTATATTTTATTTTACTGCTTCATTGTATGTGATCAGTTTTGTTTACTGGGACAGTCATTTTGAGGAACTTGTGACAAATGGATCTGTTTTTCTGTGTAGAAAAATCAAATGAATAAATTTTTTAAAAAATGCATTAAAAGCTGTAAGTACAAACATGAATCTGTAAATGTTTCAGCCAAGCATCTCTCTTTATCCTGGCCTTTCTAGTCCCAGTTTTAGACCATTGAATCCTTTGTAAGTGTTTTCTTCATTGTGGGACTGGCTCGTAGTGGCTGAAATTCTGCACCAAGGCTGAATTTCGGGAAAGAGACTTCAGATACAGTACTAGGGACCACTTAGGCCTATATAAAAGCATCCAAAAAGCAGCATGTCATGGGACCTTTAAAAGCTGTAAGTACAAACATGAATCTGTAAATGTTTCAGCCAAGCATCTCTCTTTATCCTGGCCTTTCTAGTCCCAGTTTTAGACCATTGAATCCTTTGTAAGTGTTTTCTTTGTCAGATAATTACTGCATACATGTTGGGCGGAAATGCCATTTGTAATTAGTTTCTGTCTGAAAATGCATTCTCACCCTCGTTCTTTCCCACAAAGGCAGAGCGTAAAACCATGTAGAGACAATTACGCTGTTGGACTGCAGATAAGTCATTTGCGCCGACCCGATTGCTAAGAAACAATGGGGTTTGCCATGGGAAAGCTCTTTGCAACACACCCTCATTCACAGCCGCTTTCTCTCAGACGCTGCCTCCACAAGCGCCTGCAAATGAGTTCGGAGGCTGTTGTCTGAGAGGGAATTTGGCAGGAGTTTTTTTGCGCAGTTGAAGAGTTAATGCACTCTAATTACAGTCGTGACCGCACCGTCTAATGAGTCGAGGGCCGATGCCAGCATCCCCCAATCAAGACGCTTCTCTAACGGATGAAACTGTCTGATGGTTTGCAGAAATGCGTTAACGCATTAGTTCACCCAAAAATGAAAATGTGCCGTTAATTTACTCACCCTCAGGTCATCCAAGATGTAGGTGACGTTTTTCTTCAGTAGAACAGTAAAGGAAGATTTTCAGATCAAACCGGGATCCTTGGTCAATGCCTACCGTCTCTTTGAGAGTCAAAAAAAGCATATACAGGCAAGACTAAATGAATCCCCGTGCCTCCTGATGATATATCGAGGTCTTATGAAGCAAAATGTTTGGTCTGTGCAAGAAAAACTGTACGTTATTTACAACATTACCTGTAATCCAGAGCCTCAGGCACATGGTTCAGTTCGTGAACATATCATTCTTTTGAACCGGTTCTTTTTGTGAACTAGTTTGCAGTTCAGAGATCTACAAGTTACTCAATCAAAACTCACCTGACAGTCACTCCGGCTGGAAATTAGCCAAAATAGCGTTGTATCTGATCCTATGATGAATGAACTCACAGCCATTGACTTGCATTTTATGAATCATCAAGGCCCACAGTTTCAGCTAAAAATCTTCTTTACTGTTCTGCTGAACAAACATGTTCATCTACATCTCGGATGGCCTGAGCATGAGCACATGAACAGCACATGTTCATTTTTGGGTGAACTATCCCTTTAAAGAGCGTCAGGGTGGTTATAATGCAGATGATGTTTTCTCCAATGCCTCACAGCAGCCAAACTAGAGATTCTTGCTAATCAACAATTTCCCAAACTGCCGTAATGTGATTCAAGTGTCATGTGATGAATCAAAAATATTGAACGTTTCTAAAAGGCTTTACTTACTGTAACTGACCATAAATCTGGGAATTTTACTCTTCAGCTTCCTGTTTTGATTTATTTGTCTCCAAAGCCCTTTCAAAAAGGGGAATATTTAGTGGATTTTTTATTTTTAGTCAATCAAAAATCATCTGGATTTTTTTATTTTTTGTAGTTTGTATGTTTTTTACTAGAAGTAGTGGTGAGCAATATGACCAAAATTATTTCACTGTGTAAGAAATTTTATTTCGCAATAATGATCTATATCTCTATAAAGTTATTTTTGTCTTTTTTATCTATTTATTTATTTTCATTAGGATTTATTTTTTTTACATTTTCATTAGGAACTAATTCACTGTATATAATATAGGTCGTTTAAAAAAAAAAAAAGAACTAATTCACTAATTGAAAAATGCATTGCATTACCAGTGATTTTATTTTAATGTTTTGTATTTTCAGGGCTTGCATTTTTAGTGCCGAAACTGGACATGTTTATATATTTAAGATGTGAATATTTCAATTGGAACCATTTCACACACAATTTCATTATTAAAAATTTAATTATTTATATTTACCTTCCATTATAACCTTCCATTAGTATAATCTAGTATATAATTAGTATTTTGTGTATAATCTTGGTAACGCTTTACAATAAGGTTCATTAGTTAACATTAGTTAACTGCTTTAGTTAACATGAACTAAGAATGAACAATACTTCTACAGCATTTATTAATCTTAGTTAATGTTAATTAAACATTTATTAATGCATTATTAAAATCAAATGTTCTGCTTGTTAACATTAGTTAATGCACTGTGAATTAACATGAACTAACAGTGAACGACTGTATTTTCATTAACTAATATTAATAAATACTGTAATAAATGTACTGTTCATGGTTCGTTCTTGTTAGTTAATACATTAACATTAACTAATGGAACCTTATTGTAAAGTGATACCATAATCTTTGTATATAATATATAATCTAGTATATAATCGTTATATTTTGTCTTGGGCCGCAACCACTCACAGTAAAGAGTTTTGGATGAATAAACCTCACTTGTCTTCTACATAAAATGCAGTTAATTAAATTATTCAAAGCAGGATGGTTCTGTTCTGATCCAGTAATCATTGATCCTGCGTTTCATTACTTAATGCAATCACTCTTATTAATTAAACGTGTTCCACTGAATGCAGGCGTGTCTGTTTTTGCTGAGTCGAGACTCGTCTTTAACTCTTCTGCTCGGTTTTGGCCGGCCTCTGTAAAGTCTTAATGGCCGTAAGTGAATTGGCTGTCATGGTCGTGATGGCAGAAGTTCCTCCGCATGCGGCCGTCCTTGATTTTCCAGCAGGACAGACGGAAGAATTATAACCACTTGCGGCGCATTAAAGCGAGTCTGACTCTGTTGTGTCGCTCATCTCTGGCACACTGATACTGATTTCTGCAGTATGCAATAGGGCTGGTTTTGTGAAGATGTCACGATTCAAGACACTGCAGAGCATCTTAATATCATAATTGGATCACGATTGAAGCTGTGCCAAACCAGCGGTTCACTTCACTTTTGTTCATGTCTGTTTAGACAACCTGTGTATATCGTGTAGTGACTTACTATTTTTGGTAGTATGCAGCAGGGTCAGAAATGTGCTTTTCCATTCCTTTTTTTTTATTCTTAGGCCATCTAAGATGTAGATGAGTTTGTTTCTTCATCAGATTTGGAGAAATGTATCATTGCATCACTTGCTCAGCAATGGATGCTCTGCAGTGAATGGGTGCCATCAGAATGAGAGTCCAAACAGCTGATAAAAACATCACAATAATCCACACCACTCCAGTCCATCAGTTAACATCTGGAGAAGAC